GTGATCTCCTTCAAGTGGTGCGTGCCAGAAAATCCTTCAAAGCAAAGCACCCAGGAGCGTCCTGACAAGATGTCTCAACAACTTCTTCTGAATCATTTGATAAGCAGAAGCAGCTGCTCTACTCCAAGTTCTCCTCAGACTAAATTTAAGGCTGAGCCTGACTGGTGATATGTGACTTGTCTGTGCTGCTGATTATTCATGCTGCTGATCCCTTGCCTTTATGATGTATGCATACCCATCTGCTCACTACAGACTCATGTTCAGGCTTTTGTTTAATTAGTGTTTAGTGTATATCTTAGATCCTTAAATAATGTTTCTTTTTGCACTTTATATTTTTGCTACTATTGGATGTAACTGGGACCCTGTGTGCACAGTTTTGTTCCACCTCATGTACCACATGTGATGAAATGACAATAAACCCTACTTGAACTTGAATAGGGTCAAAGGGTGGAGGACACAGAAAAGGCTTTGCTGATTGATGACAGCTTTTAATGGAGGCTTTAATGGAGGCTCTGGGACCAGAAGTTATGACAACGGTCACCCCTGCAGAACAGGTTTAATCAGAGACTGCACCTTTACAGTCTGGATGTGGAAAGGCCTTTCTGCAGTCCTGACTTCCATTAAAAACATGGGATCAGATCCATCCTGCCTGGACTCTCTTCTTCACCTCTTCACCACACTCCCCATTTTTCTGGACAGTGGACCCCAAGTCCCTGAAGTCCTGCACCTTTGTGACCTCTGCTCCTTGTACCCCCACTGTTCCACCTCCTCCCTCTCATTCACACATGGACTCTGTCTTACTACGGCTGACTTTCATTCCTCTTCTTTCAAGAGCATACCTCCACCTCTCCAAGTTCTCTTCCACCTGTTCCCTGTTCTCACCACAGATCACAATGTCATCTGCAAACATCATCATCCACGGGGATTCCTGCCTGACCTCATCTGTTAGTCGGTCCATCACCAGAGCAAACGAGAAGGGGCTCAGAGCTGATCCTTGATGCACTCCCACCTCCACCTTGAAGCTATCTGTCACTCCTACAGCACATCTCACCACTGTCCTGCTGTCCTCTTACATGTCCTGCTGTCCTCATCCATGTCCTGCTGTCATCATACATGTCCTGCTGTCCTCATACATGTCCTGCTGTCCTCTTACATGTCCTGCTGTCCTCTTACATGTCCTGCTATCCTCTTACATGTCCTGCTGTCCTCATACATGTCCTGCTGTCCTCATCCATGTCCTGCTGTCCTCATCCATGTCCTGCTGTCATCATACATGTTCTGTACCAGTTTAACGTACTTCTCTGCAACTTTGAATTTTCTTATACGATACCACACCTCGTCATCCCCAACAACCTTTTATGTTCAGTTTTTAAATTTTCTTTTCAAGCTACTGCAACTGTGAGACCAAGTGGAGGTGAATAAATGTCTTTGGGACTTTCTCACCATAAACCAAGAAGCTCAATGGAAAAGAGGATGCTTTTGCTGCTGAATATGCTGTAGAACTGGGAGAAGCTTGGCCCAGTGGCAGTGAGGTTGTCTTACAGTCAGGGTGGGGGTTCAATCCCCAGCCCCTTGTAATGTGCAGATGTGTCCTCAGGCAAGACACTGAACTCTCCGCTGCCCAGATGTGCTCAAAGTGCGATATACACAAAGTGCTGTGTGTGATGTGTAATATAGAAAGCACTGTAGGGGTGTGAGATAATGAGACTTTATTCAGTGCTTTGCAGAACTGGAGAGGTTAAAACAATGTTTTAACGTAGGTGTGTCCCAGTTAACCCACTCAGAATGTCTTCTTACATTGGCATGCTATCAAAAAATAAACGAGTGTACAGCATACGTCACATTATACCCCCATCAACTAACTTATACAGTAAACTATAGCATTGGCTTAGACAGACAAATGCTTTAATTGAACTTTGACCTTCATTTGTGACCTTGACCCTGAAGCTGTGGTGAAAAATGTTTGTGACACTCCGTCTACACTTAGTGTAGGCAACTATGGATACTTTAAAAAAAATCTGCTTTTACGTATTATGCAGTTCCTTCAATTCACTATGTTTTAAAATGTAAACACAAATACAAAGGCATACACATATTCTGGAGCATAAAAGTAGACGTGAATGAAAATCAGACTGAAAGTAGTCTTCTCACCATCTTCTTCCGTTGCTCCCCAGCCGGAGATCCAGCACATGGTTCCCTCAGGAAACTCCTCCCCGTGGTTGGGAAGGCAGATGGGTTCCACGAGGCCTACAGAGGAGATTTATTTGTTCTAATAAAATCAAAGAGAATATCACAAATAACAAAAACAACCTGCTCGTTGACAGCAAGGCGTCCTGCTCCTGGTTTAAATTTCACTTGAGAGATAAAATACCAGTACCGTTAAAAACCAGTGGCTTGTCCAGTTTCATCAGGGCAATATCATGGTCCAGGCCTTTGGGTCGGTACTGAGGGTGGTATATGATGGACTTCACATCCAGAGCCAGGGCTCCGTGGATCAGCTGCTCCGTCAGTCCAACGTGAATGGTCCACTGAGACGAGTTGTCAAATCTGGAACGCAGATCAAACAAAAATACAGTGAGTACTACCCAGTACAATGAAGTACGTCCACTCAGCCAGAACGATGCCATCAACACTGATCCGTCAATAAATCTATAACGATGTCGTCAACACTGATCCGTCAATAACTCAGAGACTCATCCATACACTCAGAGACTCACCCGTACACTCAGAGGCTCACCCGTACACTCAGAGACTCACCCATACACTCAGAGACTCACCCATACACTCAGAGACTCACCCATACACTCAGAGACTCACCC